AGATTTCAGGGGGTATCACTCGATTTCAGAAAGCAAAGAGGGGGGACTAGTTACACTTAAAGACCTTCCAGGGGGGATCTTTTGTCATATATAAGCTTGACTCATCAAAGTTAAAAATTAGAAAAATGCATTTACTTTGATACCTGGAGATGTTAGGTAGAAATATGATTTATAATACAAGTAATCAACTTCGCGTTTATCATATTGAATATTCACGAAATAATTAAAGTTAACTAGTGAAAAAGATTGTTGTTCATATGAAACTATTTGCAAATTAAAAAGTACTATACAAATTGAAAGCTTTCTTTGTTTATAATGGCGATAAAGTTTATATGATGTCATAAGCTGATTAAAGATCAAGCTCCGCGCCATCCCCTTCAGCCTCGTCGTCTGTTTCTCCACTACTATCTACTTCAATTTCATCATTTGTGTCATTTACTTCACCCTGGACGTTGGAACTGGTTGATGCTTCACCATTCTTTGCTCTCAATATCTCCGCTACCTGCTGTAGACGTTCCGTTATACCTTGGTGAAAACAGTTCTTTCTAGCAGCCACACCAGTGGGTCTAGATGTAGACGTTTTACAAGATTTCTGGTGAAGTCTCCGTTTAATTTTTTCAACAGCAGTGAAGGATTTATTCTCTTTAATAGAGTCAAAAATCTGGGATGCGACTTCGATGGAAGTTAAATTCCCCAACAGAGAACGAGCTCTTTGCTTGAGTCGTTTTTCCTTGTTTTTCCTGATCTTTTTTCTATTCTCCTTCTTTCTTCTTGAAGAAGAAGCTTTATTCGTGTGCATAGAAAACCTCTTGAGCAGGTTGATGTGTGTGGTCGTGAGTTTCGTAGAGCTGGACTGCAGCTCTTCATTTAACGTAGCAACTTTTTCTTTCACCTCTTCTAAATAGGCCAGCTTGTCCTCTGCGTATAGTTTTAGTGTGTGGTTATCTGAGAAGACTTCCTTGCGTTTGCTTTCGATAGACGCCATTATTTCAGATGCTTTCGTTAAGGCACTGTTAACATCATTTAAACAAGACTTACACTTCTCCACGTTGCTGCTTGAACAATTCTCAGGTTAACTTTTTTTGAAAGCCCCTCGATTTGATTATTAAGAGCCCAACGCATTTGTTGTTGCTGAAGGAGGTATGTCTTGAATCCAGCCTGCTTGTGTCGGAATGCAGACTTGTAAATCTGTGGGACAATGCTGTTGAAAAACTTCAATCTGTTTGTGTGGATTTGGCAGAATATACTTTTTCCATGTGGCTCCTCGTCCGGTATCAGGGATGA